GAGAGAGAGAGAGAGAGAGAGAGAGAAATGGTAAAATCTGATCCTTCTGTGGTGGCAGGAATAACTACAAAGGATCTTTAGTAGATCTTTTTATGGCTACCTGGCTTTATTTTCCCTATGGATAGATATTGTCACCACACCGGTATCACAAATATGCAAGATACAGTCATAAAACTCTGCAGATCCATTGCTAAGATTGAAATTAAGGCCAAGTTTAAAGGTGTGTTTCATAAAACCCTTTAGTTATGAGTGCTCAGATAATCATATACCTGTGACTACTGAGTACTCATAGGTTGCGACGTCACCATGTCGACAGACACGCCAAATGGCAATATATTTTTTACTTCAGTCATGACTCTGTGTGTATGGATCCGTGTGTGTGCGTGACAAACCTTGGCCTTCGCCAATGCAGCAGTCAGGACAAAGGCATGCCATCCCACAGCAGACAGAGAGTCTGCAGCTAGAGTGAACACAGAGATAAATTATGTCGACTAATGGCTCATCAAACTGTCACGCTGAGCCAAGACAATGCACGCAGCACTGTCCAACTCCAGAATAATAATAAGATAACACAGAAGCAAAAGGAAGACTATACTTAAATTGGCGGATGTGTGTCACTCAGAATTGCTCAAAGAGAAAGCATGTACAGGCTTCCCTCACTCAGTGATTAACATGTAAGACTGTATGTGTCAATGTATAGACTGCACAAAACAAAAACAGAGGAAGCTCTTTGCAGTAGAGATATTAGCCTCGTTTGGGTTTGCAGAAAGTTTACATACATAAATACTTTAATTTCCTCTAATTGAATAACGATGGTGCACCTGAATCCAATGTATTTACAGTGACTATCAAGTAGAGGAGGTCCATCGAGGTGACATTTTCCACCCCTTAGATCAACTAGTGAACTTTATACATTATTATTTTAGTAGGTGTTTATTAAGTTTAAGTAAATTCTTTGAGAATTGCCTCCAGCTTTAAAATGAAACCCTGAATAAGAATAGCTTCTGTACTTGTAATAGTCTTTCAGCCATTTATGACTGTCGCACCTCCTTGGCCACAACCCTTTAGGTCATGGCCGGCTTTGCGTTAGCAAGATATCTTTTAGCATTTACAATTATGTTAAACTAGTTTCGTTTTAGAAATGTCCTCAGCAATGTGCTGCTCTGAAATGTTTTGACTGGTTAACTTATACTTTGTAATTTAAGCTCTACTAGCACTACAGAATGTATATTTTTTGTCTCCTGATATCTGACTGCAGGACATGAAAGTTGTCATTTGATGGTATTCAAAACAGCTAAGGTCAACAGTGTGAACTTTCTCTTCTTTATTCGGCTTACAAACAGACTGCAACAATATATTAGTATCTTGGCTGGGGGCTCGCATCATGTAAAGAAGTAGTTTACAACAAATTAGTTAGAAGATTTTAGTAAAACTGTTAAATAATCAGGTAAGAAAATGCAAAAAAAAAAATTCTAGGTTAACAATGCAGCAGTTCCTCCTCTACTGAGTCCTTATAAAACCTTTTACACTAGTATTATGCATGATAATTCATGGAAATTGTACCCACAGAGGTTGTGTGTAGGATTTCCATAGAACTGGAAGCTCTTTAGAACTTGAATCACTACCTGGGCCAGTTTTCATAATTGCAAACACATTTGTGTAGAAAGAACAGAATGAATTTACATGCAGAAGTTGATCAGTTTGTTTGGATATAAATCTGTTTACACTTTTATATTGTGAGGACCAATGGACCAAATTAATGTTTCCTTAATACAAATCATTTAACTTTCATGTGCAAACATCACACTTACTGTATATATCCAGCATAATAAAGGCAATATTCCCTAGATGATGGAGACAAACCAGGGTTTGTGTAGTCTTATTTAAGCTTCATTTAAGCCAGACTCGCCTTCTGCATTACAAATCTGTGTTAGGATGTAGCCCAGCTGGAGACATTTCTCAAGAAACATATTCTTGAGATATGTCACTAAAGCCTGCTTTTCTCAAACTCCCCCAGTTGGAAAGACTGAAATTTTTCAGCTATATAGTGAGTGTGTTCTTCCAGCCTGACTATCAGACCTTCCCAGATCATCCAAGAGTCATCAGTCACTGGAAGGGCATCATTCATTATTTATTTGTATTTATTTATGTATGGAGTTAGTTAGTTAGTTATTTTCATGTGCAAATACTGGCAGTCCCTTATGAATGTACACTATTTGCTCCTTTACATTAGTACCTACTCAGATCGGTGTACTGCACTGTGTACTGTATGGTATGGTTGATTATAATACATCTGCAAATAACTGAAAACTCGATTATAAACAAGGAAGATCTTTTTTATGGGTTCAGGAGATTTTTTTTGTCATTTTCCTTTGGTTTGGAAAGTATAGGTGATAGGAAATTGCTCATTTACAGAGTTTACAGAAAATGTTAAACATGCTGAACATGCACCACAGTACTGTAAAGATAGGACAAATCAGTGGAACCAATCAAAGAAAAATAAAGTTCTTAAACAAAACAAACAAGCAAACAAACAAAAAGGCAGAGACCAGAAGAAGAAAAGGGAAGAAATGAAAAGTTGCTTTTGTTTGACAAATATCAAATCTAATCTTTAGTGTCCTCCTTTGTGTGGATAATAATTACAGATAAATAAATACATTGCCATGACTTTACTGAGTTCCAGTTTGTCCAGTACCAAGAGTCACCACTGGGTGCTAAATCAGTAACTACAGCAACACATTACCAAACAGTAAAAACTTTTCTAACGTAATGAAAAAAGTGCTTTTGTAAACATACAATACCTGACTTTTGTTTAATAAGCAAAGACTCACTGTGGACAAACACTGAACTTGTTTCCAGCAGCACCACCCTGTTTCACAGTATGCTTCTGTCACCCTTTGGCTATTAATTTGAAATGCTGTGAGTCCAATCTAACTGTGGCAACAAATTAACTGAATGTGAATTTTACTTAACTAAAAGACTCGATTTTAATTTAATGTGTGTATTTAAGGTGAAAAACATTACCAAACAGCTGTTAAGCTTAAAATTGTTCTGCAGTTTGAAGCAGCAGCACCGAGCCAAAGGAGCATTACGTTTTCTGTCATCGTTGTGACCGGTCAGTACAACTCTTGGTCAGGGCAAAGTGAGGACACTAATACCCCTCAGGGAGAAGTCCGTGTGTTTGTGTGTGTGTGTGTGTGTGTGTGTGTGTGTGTGTGTGTGTGTGTGTGTGTGTGTATTATCAGAAATGGAGGGCATCCTAATGAATGACCTTTGACCACCAGAAAGGGGAACCGGACAGAGGAAGTTCAGGGGAGAGGTGAAGAGGGGAGATGGAGGCTAAGGGGGCGCCAGGCGCCACATTATACCTCCTGTCAGTCAAACAGACACCCACTGCTGCCCCACTCATGAGGGATCATCCACTGAAAGTGAGAACCACCGACCTTAGAAAAGATGCTTTAAAAAAAAATACACTGGAGTTTAAAGGTCACTGTCCCGAAATGTTTTTTTCAGGTCACGTAGAAACTAATTGTAAAATAAAATAAAAATGAAAAAAAGCATTTCCACAAAGGCATTTCTTACATTGTAAATTTGATTAGATCATAGATGCATTCATGTTAAAAGCAAGGGGCAGTTTCTTGAGCTGACGAGCTGCTACAGCCTTATACACCCACCCGCTCTCTCAGGTCAGCTGATCAGCTGCTCCTGAAGATACCCAGGACTGGGCGTAAACTTAGAGGAGATCGTGCTTTTGCTGTAGCAGCTCCCAAACTGTGGAATGAGCTTCCTTTAGAGATTAGACAGGCCACTTCTTTACCTGTTTTTAAGTCACTCTTGAAAACCCACC